GAATGAACATTTTGTCCATTTGGTTTAATTCCGTAATTCAGAGCTACGGCGTTGACAACACGTAATTGTGTATACGATTCAAAAATTTAGGACAAGGGGGAAGGCGGAGAAAACTTTGATTAATATTCATAAATCATCATAGGAATATTGGGTAATCATCGAACGGCACAAACGTGAGAGCTGTAGCCCGTGTTTACGATTACGCTTCGTTTATCAAGTTTTTGTATCATTCGTCGAATCTGCCGTTAATCAACAATCCATTGTGGACATTTAAACCGTGCGTATTCGATGTGTGAGCACGATTACGAGTCGTTCTCATATTTATGCAATGAATAAACTGCACGATCGCCAATTATTATCGGAAGGCCGCAAAATGGATATCTGGAAATACAAAAGATAATCACGCGGTTAATGATTCGCTACGTTGTTATGACGTTGCTGGATATATCGATTCAAAGCGACGGATTTATCTACAAGTATATACGCAGTATAAACTACAACAAATGATACGCAACGATATATAATTGAACGAGAACTCGCGTCAGAATATTTAATATTCCATTTTTATTAATATAAAATAAAATATCAAATAATGTAAAAATATTGAAGTATTAAATAAATATATTTATACTGCTGAAATATTAATAAAAAATTTAATTTGAATGTTAACATAAAAAAAGGAGAACGCGATGATATTTCTGATTAATATGAAAAATTAAGCCTTAATAAGAGAAAGGTTCCTATTTTTAGTCAAAACGGATCTTGATGCTTCAATAATGTTCACATGTAAATTTAAAAATATATTTTTCAGGGTGTTTATTAAAATCTTATAAAAAAAAAGTTCCTGAAAATTCCCGAATTTTACAGGTATTTTTATTCAAAATTCAAGGTAAAAAATTAGAGAACTTTTTAAATGCAACTTTAAAGTAAATTGGATTCAAGTAATCTAAAGTTCTGCCAATGAAAGCGCTATTATATGGTAATTAAATAAATTCTTGCGGTAAGTATAAAAAAGATGCCACAATTCTATTTTTTAGTAGAGGAATAAAACTCAAAAACCGATAAATGTATATACGCTCTAGTTACGCTTAAGGTCAATATTACATGCGTCCGTTTTCTGTCGTATGACAAATTTTTCAAGCGTGTTAATTGGCTGCAAGACAGAGAGGATCTCGGATCTCTTTGTTCTATAACCAATCGACATACTTGAAAAATTTGTCGTACAACAAAAAACGGACGTATGTAATATTAGCCTAAAACTTTTGTGTAAATAGAACTAAAGTAACGATAAAAGTAACTAGTGAAATCGTTACCATTACCTCAAAAATGTAACTGCGTTGCCATGAACGTTACTCAGAAGAAAATGTAACGTCGTTACCCAATCGTTACCGAAAAAAGTAACTTATAACGATGTTACAAGTAACGCTTTACTTGCCAATCCTGGATAATACAAAGAAAGTTCGGTACATATAATAATATCAGTGAGTTACTCTATTCTACTGACAATGAGTATTGCACAGTATTGCCTTCTATTGTCAACCTGAATTTTTTAATAAAAATTCGCGAGACACACACAAGAATGTACGAATAGAAATATACACGGATATGTAAATGCCATACTTATTCTAATTGTCAACTTTTTGCATTATTATAATAAAAAAATTATCAAAGAAACAATATTTTCAGAAAAAGACAGAATTTAAATTTAAAGTCAAATTTCAAAAAATTTTTTTAATTCCGATGAAATTCCATGAAAATTTTTTATTTTCACAAGAAAAGAAATCCTCTAAAAATTCCAGATTTTCTAGATAGTAAACGTTGTTTTTACAGTTTTATAAACTGCATGCCAATTCGGTTTATCAAACTTGAAACACAATTATGAACTGAAGCTGGAAATAACATCACAAATTACATCAACCGTCCATTTAAAAACTGCAAAGAACTTATTGCGAAAAATATCACTTTCGACGGAATTCGAACCTAGATCTCTCTCATTTCGTGCGAGCGTCTTATTAATTCGATTACAAGGCACGAAGATATATGTTTGTCGCAACAACCGGTAATTAGTGAGAAAACGTCGTTTTTTTCAAGGAGATATATTTAAAAAGTTCTATATGAAAGTCTTTCGTTTATTTATTATTAGCATTATTATTAAATTGACGATCAATGTATATTTTCAGCTTCAGTTTATGATTGCGTTTCAAGTCCGATAAACTGAATTGGCGCGCAATTTATAAAATTAAAAATGAAATGTATTTGCAAATTTGCATTACTTATACGAACATTATCAAGCATCAAGATCCGTTTTGACGGAAAATAAAAACCTCTCTCTTATTCGATTTATTTCTATCGATATAAAATTTTCATTTACAATCTTTATTATTTTATATTAAGTCCTTATTATTAATGATTTAAACTTATTATATTCGTTAAATTCATTATATTCCATCAAAACAGTGAAGATTGCCAAAATCGATCGCATAATGACGTTGATCTACCTCTTGTGAAGGAAAACCGATCTCAAGCCACCCTGAACAGATTACGATGTCTGCTAATGAAGATGATCATTATCATCTAATTGGAAGACGTATTTGCAGTAGCTTCTTGGTCTGAGCAAACACCTAGTAATGACTCTTGTGCGTTCACAAGCGGTGGTGATTGATCTTCCACAGCGCTTATGATAGCAACGTTATATATCACAAGAGATCCGATCACGTCAACAAAATAAGCTCGAAAGAATGGACGTGTGGTGTAACAGGGCTTTTGCAAACTCAAATGACGAATGTTTCAAGCCATTTTTTTAAATAGAGGTTAAACTTCAACTTCGACGAAAACAAAAATACTCTGTGATTCGAATAGTTTAATAAAATTAAGTGTCATATCTGCTGCAATCGCAATAGCAAACGATTAACTCTCAAACAGAAACTATCAGTTTGATTTTTAGAAGGAAGAAAATATAATATAGTAATTCTTTGAAAATTACCCGAACTTTATTACGAGCACACGCAAACCTGAAATTTAGATGTAATAAATATGCAATTACAGAAGCGCAAAAGATTATCGAAACCAGTTCCGTGATAGAGTGGCGTGATAGAGTGGCGATAAGAATATAGGTATGTGAAACAGTAAATAATAAATTGAACTGGAAAAACAAAAGTAAATAATAACAAAAAAAATTATTTTTTCGTTAAGATATAACCGTAATCTTTTTATTACATAAAAAAAATAGTTTTTATTTAAGAAAATTTTTTGTTACATATAAAAAATATATTTCTTTCATTTAAAAAAAGAGTTGCAAAACTACATAAATTATTTTTTAATTTTAATGGCAAAAAATAACCAAAAAACTTCTTCAAATCAAAGAAATTGAGTCGATGTCAATAAGTAACAAATAAATAACAATTTCACCCATTTGTGATGTCACAGTAACAAATTTTGCATTGCGTAAATGTTATATATGCATTTCATCTCAATACATAATTGTTATATGTCAACCTTATCGCCGTTTCGTATTTAAATCATATCACTTGTTATGTAACTACTATAGATAAAATGGGACGACAAATTTGAGAACATTCTCCGCAAATTCACATAACTTTTGACATCACTGTTACGATCCAAAATATTAAGATTATGTATGAGTTACGAGTTTGAGATGGTATTTGTGTTTGCTGGGTTACGATCGGTTGATCGTGTGTGGTCATGTTATCTCGTACTTATGCGATCAATTCTTTATTCTTAACGTTCTCAATACGTTTATTCAGCAATGCCATTCAATGATCGAATGAATTGCGATATTTCAATGCAAGTACAAATACATCATTGATGGTTTCCTATTTAAAGTTGATTTTACATACATATGTAACATATGTATATTGCATACATAAGTAGAAGTAGAAAAGTATCAATGACGCCTTTTGTACAACGACTAGCTAAAAAGTATAATGTCGTAGAATGAAGAGACCCGGTGATGTGACACTCAAATATCAAAACCATCTGGTACAATCGGGACAATTGTATGAGGGGAATTTTTAAAGCGATATAATTCGTCGACGCGCGTGTTGCATTTCCGTTCACCGTATAAGAGGAGCGGTTAATAATGCAGAAACATAAACGCTAACATCGCCTGCCTTTTTCATGAGACGCCGACACTGTGCACGATGAAGGAACAGTAATGTTTATTTAATAGCTCCATTTACGTTGGACGAACTGCACCTCGGACTTCACCGTGTAAAAACAGCGATTTTATATTTTATAAGCGAATCGTGTCCCTATAGACGTGCATTTGTTTCTATCGCGCGCATAGTTGCCATCGTTAATTGTATAATCGTTATTCATGTCATAATTACATCAAGTTGTAATTACACAGTAATAAATAAAAATTCTTGATCATGAGAAGAAAAACTTGATAACATAAATTTATACGGGTTAAAATATTCAATATCGATTTCAATAACTAGTTAAATCCCCTATAGCACAAAGTTACACAAAAGTTGCAGCAACACTGCTGCAACATTGTAGCAACATTGTATGTTGCAGCAATATTGCAGAGATATTGCTGCAAGTTCTGTGCTATATGGGATGCTTTAAAATCTTAATAAAACAGAATTGCACTTATTATGACTCTCATTAAAGAATCTTTCAAGATTAATTTCTTGTATATTTTACGTATCTCAGTAATTCGCGCATGTTACTTTTTTACCTATACGATTTGGATGACACTTTAACTTTCTATTCGTGGACCATCGATCGATTATAAGGTCGTTTAACGGGTCTCTTGATGGCGAGCGAGCGAGCGAGCGAGCGAGCGGGCAAATCTGGCGACGTGACGCGCCGTTAAAGTATCCGCTACGATCGCGAGGAAGGGTCGCAAGGTCGTTCGTGCGGCCCTACCCTTAAATTATTCAACAGCGACGTGGGGTAGCTGGCCAGCGCGCTGTCCGAGCTAAGATATAGCGCCTCTAGTCACGAACCAGACGATGGATTTTCCGATGGCTCACCGTTCGATTCCCCAAGTTCTTCACCTTGCACACGAGATGCACCGTCTTCCCCACCAGCCCGGTAAAATTCGACTGCATTGAAATGTCGAAGTGAGGACCGGTGCCTGGTGTCGGCCATTCCTCCAGGAAGTCAGTCCGAAAGTTTCGTAAGCATGACGCTATACCACCTAAAAACAAAAGAATCCTTACGAATAATGCTAATTCCAGAAAGATACCATTATTAATAGAAAATTGAAAATTGCGCTAAAAACAGATCTATCGCGAATTGCAATCAATAATAGATTTCTAACAAGATTATCAGATCGATTTTGTATAGCGTTACTTCTCGTTTATAATGAATGGTAAGAATAAGATTGTCACAAATTTTCTATTTCATTTTTAACGCGGTCATACCAGACTACCAAAACTGGCAATTGGAATAATTGTATATCCCGTAATTTTTTAGCATAATAGTGCACTGAGAAAAAAATGGTTGGAATAACCATAATTTAACTATAATTTATAGTTATTTTTGGGGACAACCATAAATTTATAATTGATATGAATTATAGTAACCTGAATTATGATCGTAACCATCATAATATGTATTAATTCATTCAACTAATTGTATGATTATCTTACACGTAAATCATATTTGCATAAAGTAAATTATACTATAAAATATTGTAATTATACATATAAGATTATTATTACTAATATTATAGCAATAATAATTATAAAAATGATGCTCCTATAATTATAATTATTTTACCATGCAATTACAATCATAAATATGATATACTTTTCTCTCAGTGTGCAATAGCACACGTTTAATATCGTCGTTGAATGTTTCGCGTATGGAAAAAATAATTTTACTAAAAATTTAGGTAGATTTAAATTTAAAAATATAATTTTGTTGAACCATCAAAATAATTATTCAAAATAAAAAATTCACGCATAATGAGTAGTGCTGCATAAAGTTTTGACATTGTGTAGCACTAGTTCTACATAATTTATTTTGACAATCAAACAAAATAATTTTCAGATTTGAATCTAGCTAAATTTTTAAATACTTCAGCAAAGCAGTTCTTTTAGTGTACGTTTGAAGTCGGTGTCCATGGAATATTCTGAGAATCCAGCAAATCTCTCGGCGCATTTACGATGTATTACATTTTGCAAGGCTACTTGAATCTCAAAACGCGGAAACTCCACATCAACCCGTTAACGTTTGCGTCACATCGGAGATCGTACGTTGCATCAACGTCACGGATTGTCGCGTCACATCAGTCGTGCACGTGAAAGTTCGCGTGGCAGTACGCGAATGGACCTATTTAAATATATCACATTATATCTTGACGTGACGGTAACGTTTCTTTTCGTGACGGCAGCGCGACGTTACAGCCGGATTTCCCCTGAAATCTGCACGTTACCGTGTACACGCATACCGTGTGCATTTACTAACTGCTAAGCTTATCACGCGTGCTATTCGAGAGATATTTTTTCTCGCGTATCTTGTGTAACGTTATACAGAACGTACGGGTGCGCGCGCGAACGCGAAAAAGATTATTCTATTGAAATAAATTAATTCTGTGGAGGAGACTACTCGGTAGAAAACGCAACGGATTTATTAACAGTACGCGAAGCACGTGCTTTAAATATCAGATTAAGATATAAACTGAAATATCAATACTGTATGTTACGAATTTTTTTAAATCCATCATTGTGAATGTATTCAAAAAAATTGTCGATATTTGGAAAAAATATTTCATTCGGAAAAAATATTTCTGAAGCGTGACAGTTTCTTTTGAAACGCGCGACATGTTTTTTTTCCCAATATTAATTCCCAATGTATCTTTTCTACGGAATAGGCTTTATTTTTCTGTAATAAAAGCTTTCGTTAGGAAAAATAAATCTTGAACAAAATACGAATTGCAAAATTTTTGCTGGAAAAAACGAAAAACTTGTAATATATTTTTATTTAAAGTAGTCCTAGATCCAAGACTCTTTGTTTTCCAATACAAGTATAATACTGTTTCTTTTTAAGTTGGATTTCGTTAGCTTATAACGTTAAGCAACGGTAGTCTTTAATTAAATTCCTTTTTTAACATAAAGCCATTTTACTGTAACATAAAAATTGACAAATAACACTTGCAAAATAATAAACGCAAAAATAGCACACATTTGGTGATTATTTCGTTTTTACATTTTCAGTTGCAGACAAAAATCATCATTAGTATATGTAACGTAGGTAATTCTACCAGTGCAATGTAAATATTTGGATAGCACTCTTCATATTATATATATTATCATCAAATTATCCATATTTCAAACCGAATATCCATGTAATTTCTCTTATTAAGTTTTTATTAGCTTTCTCTCATTCTATAATTTTAAAACAATGCTATGTTATACGCTTTTGCACGAGACATGCAATTGTGATTAAATACAATTTAATTACGTATCTTTCTACCTCTTTGATAAATGCATCCCAAATGCGCCCCGGTGAAATGCTCATGCCGCTACTTTTTGAATAAACAAGCATTTGCATATTTATGCGTTACATTATATAAAGAGTATATTTTCAAAAAAAAAAAAAAAATAAATAAATAAATAAAGAACTTGAACATAAATCTTTGACGTAACTTAAAATGTAAGTACTGGTGCTGTTGCGTGTTATTTTGAGATAACTAATGCAAATGTTCTCTCCGGTGTTGACAACAATTCACGTATAATCCGCAATCTTACACTCAAATTCGCGATTCTTGATTAAGACGAGGAAATACACAGGCAACTGCAGCGGCGCAAATACCTGAAGCGCACGCACGAACTATCGCCAACTCCGGAATTGTACTTCCGGATCAGCTGTGTGCGGGCAAGCACTTTCTCAGTTGCGAATTATATTTCGTCAAGTGCTTCACAAAGCCAGACAACCGTACGCCACGAATTTCCGACTGCACCATGTTTAGGGCGAGTTCGCGATTAGAACGGAATTGCATGTACTCTCGCTCGTTGCCGGAGTTGATTTCAACCGGGATGAAGATACTTGCTCCACTTCCTCACTGTACACGTTGTCAGCGACAATATTTAACCACCAAAGATCCTTGAATTATATAGTAATTTAATGAGGTCAGTCTCAGACGCGATTCAAGTTGCAGAAAGGTATTATTCTTTAATAGCAAAATATTATACATCAATATTAAATTTTATACTACATATTGAGATTAATCTTAAACTTCTATGTAGAAATTAAGAAATATTTACAGACGCTAAAATTTCCATCAAAACTACGATATTTACTACACAAAGAATAGATAAATACATTAAAAAGTAGAATAGAGCTCAATTGTATTCGCTCACTTTTTATCTCATTTTTTATTTTTATAATTAAAGTTAATTCTTTTTTCCAGTCCTCTTTCGAAAAATTGCATTTGTGCGATGAAACCGACGCATTCTTTGTGTTCTTAACATTGCCGCAAGACAATGATTAATCTCCGGACTTTAACAGGAGAATAGCTTCCGGGCTTGTAAGCGTTATAAAGTTAAAGACGACGTAGACGTGCGCGTAATATCAAACTTCATCGATGACGGGATTAAACATAATCGCCGCCGGCGCACTCTATTTCTCTTCGTACCTCCAATTTCGTCGAACTTTTCGAAATACTGGCCGACGTGTCACGACGTGCTATTGCGGATAAAACGAAACTTCGAAACGAATGGGTTTTCCGTAGCGTAACGTCGCGCACGAGAACCGCGTGCTCGCGCGTATTGTCATAAAATAACCCTCGTAATTGCCTTTCAAAACTTTTCGCTAGTAGAAGCACTTCCGTGACGGGAGAGCAGAATTCTGCCCAGGTTCGCGAGACCGCCACTCATTGAGTCCGTTTGCCGTGAGGCCTCTTGCTGTTCGAGGCGTTCCTTCGAACAGGACCTGTTCGATGCAGATATGCCCGCACGAGCCTCACGTCATTTGTTTTCTGCTCGCGAAATTAATTTTCCTACCTGAATTCTTTTGTAGGAACTTTACCATTGCACGTTTCATGCGAGAAAAGTTCAGTTCGTGCACCTTTCATCGAAATTTCCGAGCGAAGAATGCGCGCCGTTTGGAACGACGATATTTATTTCCGTGCCGACGTATTCAATTAGGATTAAGTCAATTGAGATATAAATTATAAATATCTCCTTTTTATGCTTGGCTAGATTTTTGAATACCTGTAAATGTATAGAGATATTTCTTGTAGGGACTACATGAATATATCTATAATTAAATCTTTCTTTTTTTAAATCAATTTATCTTCATATTTAGTTTGTTCCAAACAACAATAATTGCATATTTGCTAAATTATCTTTGTACAATATTATCACAGAGAATTTTACACAATACTATCACAAATAACTACTAATATGAATTAATCTTATGTGATTGCTATTACGCTTTGCGTTCAAAATAGAATGTTTAAATATGTATACGCATATATGCGTGCATTAGCTGGGTACGAAAGGGAAATATTAATCACTTCGTTCCATATGCAAATTAAATTATACGGATGTGGAAATAGTTGATAATAAGTAGACACGACATTTCACGTTCTATATTTCGGTCCCAATGCAATAATTTTTCGTATGACAAAACATCCGCGTTTTCGCATCTTGTCGACAATTGTTATGATTGTTAATGCAAGCGAGCAGGCAAATGATTTAAGTGCACTTCTCGATGATGCGTGAAAAACGGTCGGATTAAAATCTCCTTAGTGGAACGCTACTTTGTTGACGCAATGGGCTTGCTATTGATTCGAACGACCGTCGGTGGATCGATTTTATGGTCCTTTTAGCCGGAAGGGAGTTGAAACAAGTTCATTCCTGATTATCGGATCGACCGAGAGCTGTTCTGTTGTGTTAGAAATTAATTTTGTTCCGGAAGCTACGTGAATACGGATTTTCCCTTCGTTATGTTATCGACAGTTTCGGATGTCACTTTATAGTTTCTTTTTATTAAAATTCGAAAGAACAGTTTAATTTTTACGTTACAATTTTACTGATTTCGCTGAGAGAAAAAATTAAAAAAATATTAATAAAGTAGATATAGTATCTCGTTTATTAATATTTCTTTCTTTTTTAATTTTAAATTTTCTATTAGTAATTACTCAAACTTTTAACCCCAGAATGCTACCGATTTACGTAAATTTTATGT